GGACGTGGGTGAGGTAACCTCGAGGATTTTCCAATCCTACATTTCTACAGTTTCACACTCTTATTTATATAAAGATTCTCTTCCATAAATCCAGCAAACAAACCTTTGCCTGGAAAGCCATTTCCATACCCCATTAGTGCTGTTATTAATTAATTTCAATAACTTATCCCATGAGGTGCTGCCTGTGTTCTGTTTTTCCCTGGCTGGTTTCCTTAAGCTCCCAGATAACTGCTGCTACTTAGCTCTGATTCCATTATGAAATTAGTTTCTGGTGGAAGTATGTTCCTCTTCCAAAGCCTTGTGCTCATCTGAGGTGCAGCATTAATGATGGGAAGCTTATTAAGCACCTGAACAGATGTTTGAGTGGGTTTTAGTGTCTCCCTGTGTTATCTCCCCACAGCCAAGAGGAGAGCCTGAGCTCCAGGAAGGCGTGAGCACCTTGTAGCACACGTAGCTCAACATAAATCCCCGTGTTCACTCCCAGTGTGGATCCCTGGTACGGATTAGCTGGTTTCATTAGCAGCCTCAGAGCCTGGCTGTTTAATATTAATAATCCCTGTTAGCCTATAGACTTAATTAGGGTGAGAAGCAGCTGGATGCTGGGCAGGGCCAGCCTTGGCTCCAGACGTGGCTCTGCCCTGGTTGCTGAGCTCTTAACTGGGGGCAGCTGGAACAGCACAGCCTCGTGGCTCCTTATCCCCCTCCTCCTTCCTGCCTCCAGGACCCTTTTAAAGGCTTCTGGCTCCCACTCAGGAGCTGGGAGTGTGGTTGGAGCAGTCCTTGTAGTCAGGCAGTTTTTCCTCTGCATGGGAGTAGCTGCCTTTGCTCCTCTGGGGTGAGTGTTCTTTGCCTTCTGCTCCCAGGGACAGAATACAGGGGTTACTTGGGCTGTCAGCACTGGGCTAATTCATTTCTCCTGGCTGTCCTTACAAAAACTTGCTCAAGCCAAGGGCAGGTTTTGACCCGTTTGGGTGTTACAAAGCTGGAAAAACATCCAGGAATCTTAGAGGTGAAAAAATGCAGCAGAGCTGCTCGAGTGCTCCTCAACTTGCAGAGCCTGTAACTGCAGTGGCACCAGTCCAGCACTCGATATTCCTCCTGGTGGAGGGTATGAAACCCCGGCAGCAGCAGAGTTCTGCAGCTCAATTAGCACAGTTCATAAACTATGCAGCTCAATTAAGAAAGCCTTGTCTGTGGAAAGCAAAGCAAATGGAAATGGATGCCTGAGGTAATAAAATATGCAGTTCAGTTGGAAGATGATGCAGGTGGTTAATGAAAGTGTTATCTGATATGCAAGATGGGAATGGGAGAGCGTGTGTAGAGGTAAAAAAAGAGGTTGGGTGTGTCTGAGTTTGTCCATCGCAGCAGGGGAGGCTGTGGAGCATCTGAAGTGGCCTTTTTTGTTGCTTATGAGTATTTTGGAACCATCTCCAAACCAGCAATGGCTGTGAAGAAATGAGTATCCAAAGTTTTTCTGTTCCTGATGTGGTGTATCCACAGGATGTGCAGCAGATGTTGTGTTTGGTGATGCAGATGAGCCTCTGGAGCCCTGCAGCTGCCAGTGAGCTCTGGGTGTTGTACAGGGTAGGGCTGCCAGGCAATGCCCACCTACAAACCTGCCCAACCAACACCTGTAGGGCTGGGGGAGGGCCTGGCTCCTCAGAGACTTGGGTCAAATCCGAGAGTTTTTAGGGAAAATTTCTTTTAATTTCAGCAGGAGCTTTGATTCTGTCTGGTGCACAGGATTTGGACTTTAGAATTAAACAGTTATTCTGAAAGTGTCAAACAGGATTGCTGTGCTTTGTAAATAACTGGGGAATAAGCAATGCCAAGTATGGGGGGGAAAAAAGAGGAATGGTTGGTCAGAGAGGTTGTGGATTCCCCAGCCCTGGAAGTGTCCGAGGCCAGGTTGGACGGGGCTTGGAGCAACCTGGGATACTGGAAGGTGTCCCTGACCATGGCAGGGAGTGGCACTGGATGGGTTTTAAGGTTCCTGCCAACCTAAACCAGTCTGGGATTCTATGGTTTTAAAATAGTTTTAGTAATTAATATAGAATTTGATAGAAATATTAGTTTGATACCTAACATTTTTTATTTGGCTGTGGTTACAATCCTGAATAATCCACTTAGTGTATGAAACTATGCAAATACACTAAATATTGGGCTGCTGCCAGTCAAATGCATGGCCTAGAAATGCTTCTTCTTACCTGGTCCTATAGAAACCAAATACTACTTCCTAAATGTCTGTGGCATTATCCACTCGTTTGCCAGGGACAGCATAAGGTAAAATCAGGAAATACCTGCAGGGAGAATAAAAGGCTATTGATCCTTGCAATGGCAACAAGAATCTCTCCATTCATTTCAGTGAGCTTTTGAGAAGCCCTGGTACTTTTTCTGGAGTGAAATGTTTCATCCTCCCAGGAAGGGAAACACTGGGATGTGTTATCTGAAGGGTGGGGGGGTGATCAAATTGGGGATCTCCTGTCGTGACAGAGGGGACACTGCAGCTGGTTCTACAGTCCCTGGGTGGAATTCCCAATATCTGTGAAAGCTGTGAATTAGTGAACTCTAAGGCATGTGATACATAAAGACCTTGCTTACAAGGGAAACCCTTCCCTGGTCCTCCAGGTGTCTGTATCCATCCTGATTCCAGCAGAATCAGGGATGTTGCTGCTTTTAAGAACGACTGGATTGGGGGACTGCTCATCCGTGCCTTGGCAGGACTTGGAGAGGCACAAAGCCACACATTTAAAGGACATTAATAGGTGATGCCCCATCCTGTGCTGACAAGGCCACGCCACCACCTCCTAGAGCATTTTAAACTTATTTACTGCACCACAGATTTCAGCTTCAGAACCTGACAATTATTAGCCAAACCTGAGCCATTTGGAGGTGTGATCTGTGATTTCTGCCTTCTCCTTAGTTTTCCATGGCTGACTCTTGGCACACAGCAGATTTTTGGCCTCAAGACAAACTGCAGGGACACAAACCTGTTCTTCCCATTAGCCTTTTAAGTTGGTAGGTTGGGAGAGGGTGGGTTTTTCATGAATACCCTAAATTAAAGAGACTCCAGCCTGACTGTGAAATTAATAGAGCTATCAAAAACCCCACTGTCATTATACAACAGTTGTTAATTATTTACAAGCAAACTTCTGCAAGAGCAGTATTGTATCTGTCAGCATTGTCGTTATTACAGTTAAAGTGCTTTGTCTGGGTAGAAGATAACATGACTCATTTTGGTGAAATGCAATGAATATGGAATATTCTGTTTCTCTTCACCAATTAGTCAGAGGGAGAACAATGGCGTGTCTCTTTCCTAACAAGATGTTTGTTTTTAAGAGTCTAACAAAATAAATATTTTCAGGGCTTTGCTTACAAAGGGCGTAATTCATTGCAGCTATTATAATCAAAGTTAAAAGCTAAAACCAGTTTATTTTTTTTCTAGAATGGGGAAAAACAATTTTCATCAAGCAAATTCTCCTTTTTCAGCTGGTGAAAAATGCATGTGAGTCTTTTTATTATTATAGTATCTTGGTTTGTCTTATTATTTCAATGAAGGCTTTAAAGCTCATCCAAGTCCCTGGGCAGGGACACCTTCTACCATCCCAAGTTGCTCCAATCCCTGTCCAACCTGGCCTTGGGCACTTCCAGGGATGGGGAATCCACAACCTCTGGGTGATTTTGGTTGCTAATAAAGTCAAAAGGAGACTTGCAGTGAGCAAAGGAATGAACCCCTTAATTCCTGCTCTACAATGACTTGACTGGTTACCGGATGCAGAGGTAAAATCCAAGCCTCTCATTTATGCTCTCCCAGATCGTGCTGCCCTTTGAAATTTATTATTTTAAAATCTCTTGTTTGGAATGTGATTTTTAGAGTGAGAATATTTATGTTCTGCTACTATCTCAATTTTTTTACAGTCTCACAAGGGTAGGAGAGAAGCCAGCTGTGCCCTCTGTGTACTTACTAAGGTAAAGGGAAGCTGTAGAGAACACACAATTGCATTTTTCTTAAAGAACAACAGCAATGACTTAACATCATTAAAAGAATGTGTTCACCCCCCATTAATTCTGTATTTGATTCAGAGGCTGTGGTGCAATGAACAGGAGCAAAAAAGCTATTTGGAGGAACTGCCCTCAAAGTTGAGGACTGATGTGGCTGACTGTGTATTCTGGGGAGCAGATCTTTTAAAACTGTGTGGTTTAGAAGTTCTTTTAATATTAAAAAAGGCCTGACAAGAATGGTACAAACATTTCTCCTCATTATCTCTGGGCAAACAGCCTTTCCTTTCTCCCAGCAGTTGGCTGAGAGTGCCTGACCTTCCACTTGGCCCTTGTGAGTTGGTTTGTTTGATATTTCTTTGGCTGTTATTAGAAAAATGTCAGTGCTGGGGCACTCCCAGGGGGGCTTTGCTCCTGTGCCCTCCCAGGACGGGAGGGCACGGCCAGGACAGGATCTGTTGGGATGTAGGGGAGGTCTGAGTTAAGGCTGACTTGTTGGCAATCTGGGATTTCTTTAGCAGAGGGAAGTTAAGGGGAGAAGCATCCAGCCATGGTTAATGTGGAAGGGAAGCACAGTCAGGTGTGTGCAGAATGCCATGGAATGACTTAGAAATCATCCCTGCACTGCAGCTGCCAAGCTTTGGAGGTGTTCAGGTCCTGGGCACTGGTTCCTCCTGGGAAGGGCTGGCTGAAGGTCTGGGAGCTGGGGAGTTGCAACGGGTGTCAGGTGAAAGGATGTGTCTCCTCCAGTGTCCTGCTCCTTCCCGACTTTTCTTTTGGCTCCTGTTCCTCCAAAGATGCTGACGGGGTCCAGCCTTCCCACCAGCCTCTGAGAAGAGGCCCCATAAGTAATATTAACTTCTGCAATTTCCTTGTTACTCTTAAGCAGGTTATTAATTAACTGAATGTAACCACTGGCTGTTGATAAATCCTTTTAACTAATTCAAATTCCATATTGAGCCCGGAGCGTTTTCACTCGAGCTGCTGCTGGAGTTAAGCTGGGTGAGGAATTAGTCCTGAGCTGTTTTTGAGTGCAGGAGTTGGGGAAAACGGAGAGAAGATATTTGTTTGCTTGATTCCACATGACAACTCCAGGGTAACTGAACAGACTGTACGGTTGGGTTGACAGGGCTGTGCCAGCAGCCTCACATTCCAGAGGCAGGGGGATGGAAGGGGCACTGACAACTGCAATGGATCCCACCCGAATTTCTCCAAAGAGCGACAATTTGCCTTCAATTATTAATGGTTTTCAGAGGTTTCCCTTCTGAGAGGTATGAATAACTTAATGTGTGTTCATGTAACGTTTGCAATGATGAATAAATTAGTGCATGGGAAGAAACTGAGCAGCAGATCCAAGTATTAAATAATGGAAGAGGTTTTTGAGGAAATGTAGTCATTAACAGTGGGACTGTTGCTGGTTTTTCTCTGAGTTCTCAGTGGTTACTGGATGTAGAAATGTATTAGTGATGTTGGAAGTGCCACAGAAAGAAAAGCAGTGCCTGTGTGTGTGTGTGTGACAGCTGGACATGAACCTGCAGTGCTCCTGGATCATCCTGGGGCTCCCATGGGTTTCCTTTCCCTCCCCTCACTCGGGGGCACTTTGTCCCCTGTGCTGCAGAATTAATGTCTTACTTTAGGGGGACTTTGACATGCTGGGAATACACTTGGTCCTATTAAATCTTGAGCTGAAGAGACACTGGAGTGGATTCCCAGGTACCTGGGAGGAACTTCAGGATGTTCAATGATTATTCAGTGGCTGCTGTTTCAGGAGACTTTGAGGTTCAGTGGTTGTGCATTTATTTATTTATTGCAAAAAAACCAATTTTCACTGCCAGTGGCATTTTTCATAACAGGGTTCCTGTATTCTGACCCTATCCTGTGGTCCCTCATGCTCTGCCTCCTTCACCCTTTAGACAGGAATACATATTATTCCCTTTGTAAAATGTTATAAGGAGTTCTTTTTCTGTAACATCACTACAGTCTTGAAAATATGTCGCAGATATAAAAGCCTGTTAAGCAACACTTAAAACTGAGCAGCTTTTGAAAGCACCACCGTGACAGTGAGTGAATTGGTATTTGTTATGAAGCAATTTATTCCATCTTGGCAGCGTGTTGTTTAGTTTAGTGTAATATTTTAATATCATTAAGATATTTAGGCATGGGACTCTTACAAGACAGATCTGTCTTCCTGATGTTAAAGAATGCTAAGTCTTAAGAAGTGTTATATATAGCATTGGTGTGTGCTGAAACAGCAGGCAAACAGAAACCTCTGGGATTCCTTATGTGCTGAAAACTGCACAAAGCTGTCTTGGCAGCACCTAAATTACCAAGTAGGTATTTATAAAAGAATTGATCAAGTTATCTGTTTACTGGGAAGTTCCTAAGTCCATTCTTCCCCCTGTGCATCAGTGGGTTCTGCCTGGATTATGCAGCCAAAATTGCCTCAGAGATGTGAAATCTGCTTCACTTCAAGCAGCCCTTGCCCCACAAAACCTGCAGAGCCAGGCAGTTTATCACGGGGGGAGTTATTTACCCACCTGGGAGGACACTGAACTTATTCCAGGCTGTGAGAGTGGTGCAGCCCTGGAACTCTGCTGGGAGGGATGAGCCTAAAAGGCTGTGTAATTCCTCTGATTATTCTGCAGTTCCTCCACAAGGATTCTGCTTCCTTGTGTGGAAGAGCTGGATGTTGAGAGCCAGTCAGCCCACAGCTCCAGGACTGAGCAAGGTGTTTCATTAATAAACCCCAGTTTTACCCCCAGCCTAATTAGTAGACTTCATAAGTTATTGTGTCATCATCTGGTCCAGCTCAGCATCCACGGGATTTCAGGACATGAAGTGTGGAAACCTGTCATGACAGAAAAAAAACGAGAGGCTTGTAGGAAACAATGGTTGTCTTGTGGGAAGAGTTGGAATGTGTGCAGCTGATCCCATGGGAACTGCTGTAGTCTGTTCACCCTGTGTGGAAATGATGCTCTTTCAATATAATCTTTAATCCTTTTCTTTCACTGAAAAATGTAAGGACTTTATTTCCAAATTTTGGAAGAGTGCTCTGTTTTAGTGAGTAAATGCTTTTCAAAACCACTAATAATTAGATTTATTTTTATAACATGGAGGGGAAAGGTTCTCTGAAATATTTGTAATATTTTGTCCATAAATTGCATATGTGAATGTTCTTGGGAAATGTATCCAGGCCTTTTTTGTTCCCCTGGGTGGGCATGGGGGGGAAGGAAGTGTCCAACAGTCTTGGTGATATTAAAACTTCTGTAATTGTTTGAGACAGAAATTCCACAGAACAGATTTTTCCTGCGAGGTGGAGAGGAAGAATTTCAAGAGAAGGGAATTCTGCCTCAAATTCCAAGTTTTCCTTGGAGAGGATTCTAATCTTCCTCCTATTCACGGAAAAGGAAATTAAATGAAATATGCAGTTGTTGCAAACATTTCTCCCCACCCTCTGAGAGGATGGAAGTCCAAACCTTTCTCTGTTCACCCCATGTATGAAGAACATCACCAACCCCCCAGGGTTTGGCAGAGCTGCTGTCCTGGTCTTTATGGGACTGTGTCCTAACTATTAAACCCTGTTTGGTAGAACCCTCAGTTGTGTTCCTGTGTATCCTGAGGTGTATTTCCAGTCTGCACACACAGTGCTGGAAAGGCAAAGAGTCTCTGATATTATTTTACTTCTGCTTTCCTGTAGCATCTTTCCTCTGAGGCACCCCAAGCCCTTTCCATAACCCCGTGTGCTCAGCATGGACACATGTCTGCCAGGTAAGGAAATGCATTTTATTGTCTCCTTTTCCTTTTTACAGATGCTCAAAGCCCTGGGCTCTGGTTTGCCCAAGATCCCCATGGTAAAGCAAGACTTTTGGCCTCCCAACCCTTCAACACCAAACTCTCCGTTTAAGGGGAATTCTCGGATCACTTCCTGTGGCAATGGATTTGCTATATGCAGGATGGAAAAAGTCCTGTCAGAGATGGGCTGGTGAGGAAAACAGCTCTAACCTTATGGAAACAGAAGTTTTTACTGTAGTTTAAACATGTTTCAACATGTTTGTGTATTTTCTGCAGTGTCACTGTCTCCCTCTCCCAGACACCCCCTGTGAAGCTATTGTCTCCCATACAAGGTGTCCTGGGAAGGTGTCCTGAGCTGTTTCCCACTGGTCCTTTGTTAACCCCTTCCTACTGGCTGTTGACCCTTTACCTGATGGTTTTTTCTGTGTGACCCTGAACTTGTGATTGGCCCCCGCTGACCTTCCTAAAAGCCTTATAAACCCCAACCCCACAATAAACTCCCTCTTTCGGCCGTCCCTCCCAGGTGGTCTTGCGGGGTCACCGGCCCACGTGCAGGGGTGGGGGGAAGAGCATTCACCTCGCAGGTAATGGGGCAAAGCAGCTTAAGGCCTGGAGGTCTCCCCCATTCTCCCCAATCCGCCGTAACTTCCCTCTCCCGTGTAATTCAAGTTCCTTTTTTTGAGCCAGGTGCTCGTTTTACACCTTTTGGATTTCTTTCTTTAACGTTTCTTTAATCTTACCTTGTGTTCATCAAAGAGCTTTGGCACCTGTGCTGGCTTGGCCCCCGAGCAGGGAACGGGAATCTCCCTATGGGAATTGTGCTGCAGCACTGGAGGAGAACCACGTGTGGTGTCCGTGGCAAACTGAGTGTCACAGAGGACAGGGGGGTTTGGGAAGTGCTGGGTTGGTTGGATTCACTCAGGAGCCCTGGCTGTGCCCTGGGTTTGGGGTATCCCTGAGCTCACTGCACCTCCAGCAAGTGAGCAAACCAGGAGATCAGGTGAGGTTCACTAAAGGTGAACTCTACTGGCTTGGGGTTCCTAAAATTCCTTAAATATAGTGAAGCTTTCCTTGATTTATGTTGCTTAGCATGGAATTAGATTAATAATATTATTGCACGGTTCTCTGAAGGTTGGATTTTGTTCATAAATAAAATTAGGCAACCATATTTACATTTCTTTGGAAGCTAAGGAAAACAATTATTTTTTTTGTAGAATTTCCTTCACTGAAAATATAAAAATTTTTATCCTCTCACTTCCTCTTCGGTTTAAAAGATATTTTTTCCTGTCCTTCTAATGTCATTCTGCAGGACCTGAGTTCCTGGTAAACTGGGAGACTCAGCCTTTTAGCTCAAAGTTCAATTGGCTTTTGGATGCCCTTAGGTCCAACTGCCCTTTTACATGGAATTTTTATTGTTAATCTTCTATTATTGGGGGAATTATTTTGCAAACAGACCAATTCAGTCCCTTCAAGCTCTGAAACCTGTCAGGCTGCCTTTCATTGTGATTGCTTGTGATAAGGAGCTTTGGTAAGAATGCTGTGCCTGCAGCAAGTGGAGACACTCACCTTGGAGGGGAACAGCTTCAAGGGCCCAGGCAACGTGTGGCTCTTTCAGCTTGTCATGAAAAGGGAAAGGAGGTGTTGAAAATCTGATCAAACCTTTGAATTAGATGTGGGACTGCACCAGGAACCAGTGGAAATGGCCTGTGTTATACACTGAGGCTTTTTTCCTGCCTAGAGTTGCTGCTTTCTTCCCCATGTTTTGGCCGTGGGAAGGTGTGGGTGATGTGGAGTCGAGGTGAGGTGGCCTCAAAGCGATGGGACATCCCTAACCCTAACCCTGAAGCAATTTAATCATCCAAACTGACCCTTTAAAAAAAAAAAGGTAATTAAAAATGACACTTTATAAGACATATGATTGTTTTCCCTTCTCCCCAGTGCCAGCTGCCCATTAGCAGCAAACAGCACAACCGTGCAGAGAGCAAGGAGGTGCTGAAGGAACAATTTAATGCCTATGCAAGGGAAGTGTTTTCAGCACTGTCACACAATGTAGGCATTAGGAAGACTTGCTATAATTCCATTTGAAAGAGCTCATGGTAAGTCAATGATTTTCTGCACCGTCCTTAGTGCTGTCTATAAAACCCACATCAAAATGTCTGTTCAGGTGGAGATCAGGACCTTTCCTGTGCAGAAACACACTGAGCAGAGTATAGTCTGCCAAAGGCCAAGGATCCCCGAGCTGGAGGGGACCCACAAGGATCGTGGAGCCCAAATCCTGAGGAAGGGGCTGCTGAGTTTCAGAGCAGCTGATCAAAGGGAGGGTTCAGTGGATCTTCCTTCCTGGAGCATTTCTCTGCATTTTGTGGGCACGTTTTGTTGTGCTGCTTCTGAGAGTGATGTTAAAAGCCAAAGCAAACTTCAGCCCCTCTTTTGTGCTCATGTAAAGGTTACAGAACGACAGCATTGATTCCTCTGGCCAGAAATTCTCCTCTGTAGCAGGTCTGTTCACTTGTTCTTTTTCTTTCAAACAGCGTGAGCTTACCGAGGGGTTTTTTTTTTACCTCCTTCCCAGGGAAGTATAGCTTTCACCAACACAGAGAGTTCTGTTTTCTCCATTAAAAACAACTGCCCTCAAGTGGAGCAGGCTTTTGTGTTTAGCCCTGGAAACAGAGCAGCTCATTCAGAGATAAGGCCTCTCTGCATTTGGGTTCCTGCAGTCACCTGACAGAGCCATGGGTAACTTTTAGGCTGCTTTATTCTGCATTCCTGACGTGCCTCCCTCCTGGCACTGCAATGAACAGCCTCGGGTTCAGTGCCTGCCACCCGAGCCCGGAGCTTTCTGCCCGCCGTGCCCTCCGATGCTGCCCGGGGTGGCAGGAGGGCAAAGCCAAGGGTCAGGCTTTGTCCCCAGAGCACCTTTTCCCCATCACCGAGGATGGCCGGGGGGAACCCTGAGCAGGTAAAACCATCAGTTTGTGTCCGTGGCTTTTCCAGCTTTTATTTTTGAACTTGAGAGTTGCTGAGAGCGAGAAGGACGGGCTCGATCTGAGCTCACACCACCCCCGATCTGAGCTCACACCATCCCCGGCACTCGGGTGGGGGGTGCTTTGTGCCATCGGGGCTGCCAGGAGGGTCCAGCCTGTTTGTGCCTCGGGCTTTGCAGTCTCAGGAGCTCCTTTCTGCTTTCGCGATGGCTTTGCACGGGTTGAAATAACCACAGGAATCGTTTTGGCAACGAAAGGGACTGTTTTTTTTCTAAACGAGAGTCGTTATCTTCTCCATCTTGCTAATAATGGCTTTCTGGAGTCAAGGCACAACAAACAACCCAGAAAGCAAAGGAAGAGGCTTCACCCACCTCCTGGAGCTCTGCTCTGCTGCTGACCATGGAAAGGTGCTTTGTAACCCTTGTCAGCTGGTCCAGTCACCAGCCTGCTCGGGTTATATTTATGCAGATGAAAAAAACCTTAAGTTTATTTATTAAGCTGTGTATTGTTTAGCTCGTTTCAAGCTATTTGTTGTTTAAAAGCAAAAAATCTCTAGTCGAAGGGTGGGGAGGCCTTGGCACAGGTTTCCCAGAGAAGCTGTGGCTGCCCCACCCCTGGAAGTGTCCAAGGCCAGGTTGGAGCAGCCTGGGCTAGTGGAAGGTGTCCCTGCCCATGGCAGGGGGTGGAACAAGATGGGCTTTAAGGTCTCTTCCAGAATTCTGGGATTTTATGATTCTAAAAGATCCTCCAAGATGCACTTTGTGTGCATGTGCTTAAGGACGTCCCTGGTTCGGGAGATCCTGTCTGAGGCTTTCACACACCATTTAAAAGCCTTTGCTAAGTTGGAACATGACAGTCAATGCATTTGCTAATTTTTCCTCTTTTTTTTTTTTCCCTTTTCCTTTTAGATTGGGGCCAAGGAAGTCTTGAAATACACCCGAGTTTTATTCCTCATATTAAATTGATCCCTGCTCTCCAGGACTGTCTCCATCCTGTCCCCATCTGAGTGGTTCATGCCCATGGTGCCCTCAGAGGGTGGCTGAGCACAGCCATGCATCAGCTCTTTGGGCTGGTTCTGGCACAGAAGGACCTTTCCCGGGCGGGGGATCTCTTCTCCTTGGAGGATGCTGAGATCGAAGAGAGCCTCTCTGAGGCTCTGGAGCAGATCAGGATAATTAGTTCAGCTGCAGTAAGTGAAACACTGACCAGGATATTTGTCATGAGATTAAATGTATAAGTAAAATATTCAAAACAGGAACACACACAATTTAAGTTTCTATAAAAAAAAAACAAAACAAAACAAACTCGAAGAGCAAAATGTAAGATTTAAAAATGTGGTAACAAAATCCAGTTCCCCACAGCTGGATTTCCTTTAAAGCTATTTCAAGTTCATCTTTATAAGAATTTTTATTAATCAGTTATTTAAAGCATATTAAAGATTAACATGAGGTTACATAATCCATACCTTCACAGCAATGAGAATTAAGACCTAAACCAGTGAGCTGCCCATGGGATGAACTAATTTCTGTGTTTTTAATCCCACTAAACGTCCATTGTAAAGGCGGAAGCGGGAAAAGGGCCCCTGTTAAAAAAACTCTGTGTCTTCGGGTGAAATTTGTGAGGTCCTTGGAACCCAGCTGACTGGGGGATGTCCTTTGAATTTGCCCCAGGACTACCAGAGCAATGACAACGACCAGGCCGTGGTGGAGATCTGCATCACCCGCATCACCACGGCCCTGCGTGAAACCGCCTCCATCGAGCGGCACGGCCGGGCCCTCGTGGCCCTCTGGGAGTCCTGCCTGGAGCACAACCTGAGACCCTCGGCCAGGGAGGAGGATGCACCACACGCCAAAATTGCCTCTGACATCATGAGCTGCATCCTGCAGGTAGCACTGGAAGTTCCCTGCGTTACTTCCACCGAGCTGGAAGCGCCCTCGGTGCACATCCAGATTTTGCTTTAGAATGTGCTTGTGCTTTTTTGGGTGCATGGGAGGGATTATGTTTAAAATCAAGGGCTTGACTCCAAATGTTAAAATACAGAACATGGTAACACATCCTCTGAGGGGCAGTGCTGCATCAGGGGGTTGTGATCCCTCTACTTTCCTCTGGGAATGGCTGGATTTGGTGGGGACCACGCTTTGTGGTGGGCAATGCCCTTCTGGAGGGGTTGGATTTGGTGGGGAGCACGCTTTGTGGTGGGCAATGCCCTTCTGGAGGGGTTGGATTTGGTGGGGAGCACGCTTTGTGGTGGGCAATGCCCTTCTGGAGGGGTTGGATTTGGTGGGGAGCACACTTTGTGGTGGGCAGTGCCCTTCTGGAGGAATTGGTTGTCTCCCTTTTTGCCTCCTGCCCCTGGAGGTGAGACAGTAACCAGCAGCAGCACAGCTTAAACGTTCCAGATGAGAGACTGTATGTTGTGAAATCCTCGTTTATCTTTGTGGCGCTTCAGAAATCAGATTTCAGAAGAATATTGAAGTGTTAAGTGACTGCTCTAAACTTTCACTCTGTGGCTGAGCCAAGCCAGCTCATATCCAGAGTTTTGGGGACTGCACTGTGTTGCAGATTCCTCTTTTTGTGAGGTAATTGAAATGAAATGAGGTAGTTCATGGAATTATGGACAGCATTGGGTAGGAAGGGATCTTTAAGATCACTCAGTCCTACCCCCTGCCATGGACAGGGACACCTTCCACTAGCCCAGGTTGTTCCAAGCCCCATCCAACCTGGCCTTGGACACTTCCAGGGATGGGGCAGCCACAACTTAGTTATAAAAGTACATTTGCTACTCCCTGAAACAGAGCTGTTAATAGCAAGTTCCTTTGTCCCCTCCCTCCAAAAAGAAAGAAGGCATAAAATGAGGTTGGTGGGGGTTTTTTCTACAATATGTGAGCGATGGTTGAGGCTGTAACAAAGATAATGAATATCTGCCAGCTGGGCTGGCTCTCCCAGCAGGTCTCTGTTGATATGAACAGCAGGGAGGTCCCTGAGGTTTGCAAACATCACTAGATCATATTATTGAAATGTGGTCTTTATTATCACCTTCCCATTTTCTGAGTGTGCCTTCATGCCCTGATACTCATCGTGGAACAAATGAAACCTTTCTGCTTCCATCTGAATTCCAGCCTTTTCTTAACTAAGTATTTTATCTTTATTGTAGAGGGGGGAAAAAAGAATTGTTCTTTGGAATTCACTTAGATCTTTTAAATCCCAGTACAAGGGCCAAACCTTATCTTCCCATTCTTTTGTGGGGAGTAGCAGAGTAGAACTTGGAGGCAGCATTTGGCTCCTGCTCAGTGGTGCCTCTCAGCCAAACATAACGAGGCATTATGTTGATTTAAACATGCTGCTGCACGAAGCTCTATTTATTTTAAGGGCTTTTCTCATTAAAGACACAGCTTTTGGTCCCATGGAAGTTGCCAAAATGATCTATCTTGACATGAAGAAGTTTCTGCGGCCCCTTCTCCCTCAGGGGTCTCTGAAAGGGACTGTCCAATTCTTGGCAGGCCTCTGCTGCAAGGAAAAATCCTCAGAGCCACTTAAACTCTATGGAATAAGGAATAAGATTTGGTTTTCCTCAGTCTAAATTTAGTCTTTTAAGTGCTGCTCCAGAAGGAAAGTCCAGAAAGTCTGGGCTGCCTTGCTTTGCACTGTTCTGTTGCCTTCTGCCACATCTGGGTTCCAGTGGTTGCCTGGGATTTCAGATGCTAATTAAATATAATTATATTGCAGGATTATTTTCAAAACCAGGGATGTGCTCCAGTTTCAAAGGGCTGTTCAAAAGTGAGTGGAGAGGAGGGCACTGCTTAAGGAGGCTCCAGAGAGGCTGCAGGTCCTTGGTTACACACAAACGTCCTACTGGTTCCGAGGGCAGTTGGGGGGGATCTCAAGGGGAAATATATGGCAAATATGTGTAGTTTGTACACAGGGTTTCATGTGTATAAATAGTAGCAGAAAACCTTTTCTGACCTGAATGTCAAAAGCCAAGTGTGTGTGCAGGTACCCTGAGATTCCTGAGGCTTGGTGCCCCTTTGGAAAGGGAAGTTTGTACTCCTGAAAAATGTCAGTTGTCCCTGGTGTTCAGAGAAATTGGGGTTGCCCAGAGAAGCTGTGGCTGCCCCATCCCTGGAAATGTCCCAGGCCAGGTTGGATGGGGCTTGGAGCAACCTGGGCTAGTGGAAGGTGTCCCTGCCCATGGAAGGAGGTGGGACAGGATGGGCTTTAAGGCCCCTTGCCACCCAAACTATCCTGGAATTCAATGAGCTTAAAAAAAATGGAAATCTCACCTATGACAGGATAATTAATGATCAAAACCAAAGCTACTGCACTTACTGGCAGTGACTGCTCCAAGGTGTTTCCTATGCTTTGGGATGAGAATTCCTTGCTCTGTGTGGAGGATGGATACAGCTCTGATGTCTTCTCAGAGAACACCAGTCACCAAATGTCTCATTAGAAGTGTGCAGCAGTCAGCATTTAATTAGTGCACTTCATCTCAGGTTTGCTCCCCTTCTAGCAGAAGACAAAAAAAGGTGCATTATGAACATTTCCCAGTGCAATAATTTTAAATTTCTTCATTTGCCCTTTCTTACATCTTCCTTCAATGGTGCTACCAGAACACAACCTTCCTTGACATGTTTTGTTTTGGTGGTTTTTTTTTTGCTCTTTTCCCCTTGTTATAATTTTCTTCTTCTTCCTCTGCTCAGCATGAGACTTTATATGAATGTATTCTTTTTTTTTCAGCTGCTTCTTTTTCACTGCTTTTTCCTGGTTCCACAGAATTACAACCGCCCCCCAGTCATGGCCTTGGCTGTTCCAGTGGCAGTGAAGTTTCTCCAGAGGGGGAACAAGGAGCTGTGCAGGAACATGTCCAGTTATCTCTCCTTGGCTGCGATTGCCAAAGTGGATCTGCTGGCTGAGCACACGGACACCATCGTCAGGAGCGTCCTCCAAGGTAGGAACGTGGACATTCGGGGGTTAGGATGTGTCAGGTGTACATGGGATCCTTAAAAAGCTCGAATTCCTAAAATCTGGAGCCCTTCTGGTCGGGAAAGACCTCCAAGATCATCAAGTCCAACCATTAGCAAACACATTATACATAAAAATACGAGGCACGTTTGTATAAAGCAGACATATGGAAATACCTATAAATGTGATAAAACAGGTTAGACACAAACTAATACCAGATTATCAAGGAATATGGGAATTTGCTGAACCCTGTTGACTGTGGAGGTTTCGTTATGGATTGGGTGACCCCCAGGGCAGGAAATCCAGCTGCACTTGTTAATATTCCTGACTAATGAACTTCAAATTATCAGCCATGATACGAGGCACTAGTTCTGGAGCTCTTATCCTTTCTATTAGTGTCCCTGGCAAGCCTCCAAAATAGAAATGGGGATGAAATTAATCCCATTCTGTGGCAAAATAGTCAGATGTAAGATAGAAAAGCTTTGTGGTGGTTCTTTAATTTTGCCTACATTGTTAGCTTTATATAGAATATTGTTGCTAATCTCCTTACATTTTATTTTTGTGGTTGAAAAAGCCAAAAATATTCATTCTTCTATAAAAGGAAATCCAATTTAATTGAAGTAATAAAGTTCCCAGTATTTGTTGTAGTACAGTGCTACTGCAGTAGTAAATTCACTGTTTTGCTTCAAGTATGGGTAATAATTAGACAGTTATTGCTAATTACTGCTATTAAAAGAAGATTATTATGGAGATGCTAAGCACTCAAATTAAATGTGTGCATTCTTTATCAAGTTATTATTTCTTATATTCTTTTAAGACTTGACATTAGTATTTATGTGCTGACATTGTGCACCGTCACTCAGTGGTAGTAATAAAAGCAATAGAGGGAATTTAGTCACAGGTTTGGCAAAAAGGTTTCAGCACGGCTGAGTTGTGTACTTATGTTGTTCCACCAGCAGATGTTGCTGTGGATATCAGGTTTGGGAATTGCAGCCGGGAAGAGGGCACCGAACAGCGAAACGATTTGTTTTGCGAAGGGGCTCGATCACGCTGTGCATAATTCGTGTTTCAGGCATGAAAAGCTGCGTTTGCGGCAGGCTGAGAGCTGCCCTTGCAGACTGCTTGCTGAGGGGAGAGGGAAGCTGCTGAGGATGGATTTCCAGAGCAGTTTCTGGAGACAAAGGGCCTTGTTCTGGGGCTGCCCAGCGCGGCCGAGCCTCGTGGCACCAGGGCAGAGCAGCTCTGGCCCCTTGCCGGCGACTGCCGGAGCCAACTGGATTTTGTGATTACTTGGGGCAACTCTTTGGCTGCATAATCAGGTTCTTATCTCCTCAGCTAAAAAAGAGCACTTTGGAAGGAGTGTTTCACTGCTCTGTTCCAGTGAACTCAGCTCCCAAACACGCGCCGGCTGTGCCGGCGACGCCGCAGCCCCGTGCCCGCTGTGCCCGCACCTCCCACGGGCACCAGGGACCACACGGAGCTGTTCCTGCTCCCAGGGGACAGCAGCAACACCGCCCTGTGATCTGAGAGCCTGTGGCTGCTCCCCCTTCCAAAGGCACCACGGGGATGCTGCATCCAGCAGAGCCTTGTGAGAGGGCAGGGCTGGGCTCAGCACCCGCCCCAGCCCCACAGGTCTTACCCTGCTCCTCCACTTCTCCATTGGCAGTGCAAGGGCAGGGCCTCGGTGGCTTTTCCGTGTTTGGAGCCCAAAATCCCCCCAAAATACTATTTACTTAGTGTTTTCCAAACAGCCAAACTGCTGGCCAAGGAAGAACATAGTTGAGTGAAGAAGGAAGGGGAGAAGTGTGAGTTGTGGTGCTGGGCTGTGGGAAAGCTTTGCTGGTCCACAGAGGTGATAAAGGGAGAGCAAAGCAGTTGGAAAGAGGAAAGTTTTCCAGCTGAGTCAGTGGGAATGGAAGGACTGGCTTTGCACTTGGTCCTCTGCCAAACCAGAGCAGAGACAGGAGAAGGCTCCTTCCCAGACAGAGCTTTTCAGGTATGAGATACAGCAGGAAAAGCAGCCAGGAAGGATTTCTGGTGATCTTCCTGAGGAGTTTCCTTTTTCTGCTGCATTTCATGGACATTTGTTTTCATTTAATGGAGGGAACTGTATGGGAAGGGGATTTGAGAGTGATTTTGCCCTTGCACAATATTGGGACCTGAAGTGTTTTTGTAACTCTGAGGATCTGTTTTCTGGCTGCCAGCAGATGAACACAGGTAATATTTCCTTGTTCTGTTGTTAAGGTTATTCACAGATATTATTTAGGGAGGGATTTCTGTCCAGTTTACTACTAACCATTTATAACTTAGATCCAGTTTTATTGCAGGGTAATAGGAGAAATTCCAGCAATCAGAGCAATTACTTTTCCCTTAAACAGTGCTGCCAGAAATGTGGAGCAGGTAATATAACACTGGGTATGAAGCACAACCCCCTTCAATTGCACAGTAAAGGGGAATTTACCTTGTCATGGCTTTTCCTTACTATTTTTGTGTCCTGGAACAAGGATCTGGAGTCGTGTTCAGGAAGGAGTGTAGCAGCAACACGCCAAGAGATTTTTCCAAGTGTGTTCTCAGGACATCTGTAGAGAATGAGAAAGGCAGAGAAACGTGGGAATAGAGAAGAAGGATGGGCTGCTTCCAGGGGAAATGAGAATTGCTCTGAACAAGACATCCCTCATGATAACTTGTTCAGAGGCTTCGGCAGCGCGTGATGCTCTCGTTGTAAATGGTTACGGATCCAGTGAGTAGCTATTCATCATCCCCTGCTTGGGCTCTGCTTTCCATGTGGAAATCAGCCCTGGAGTCTGGGCTCTGCACCTGCTGCCTGTGCTCTGTATCCAGCCCTGGGTTTTTATTGGGTTTGGGATGAGCTTGTGAGAGTGAGAGGAGCAAATCCCTGGCACTGAGCAGCAGTTCCTTGTACAAACCTCCCGTCAGCAGCAAATGCCTTTGGGTGACTTTGGGGGTCTAAATGTACCTTAAAACTGAGTCTGTCCTCAGAGGGCAGCATTATGGGGGGGGACTGATGGATTTTTATTTGAGGATATCCCAAACCAAACCAATCCTTCCTTCAGCCTCCAAGCACTGTCCTAGCACAGCCTCAGCTCAATGCACATGAGGATCCCTCTGTTTTTATGAGAGGTCACTATTTCTATTCTTTTTCTAGAACTATATGGTTCAAAACATGGGAAGATTCCCACATGGGACTTGGTTTCAGAGTTTTGGTTCATGAGAAGCATGGAGAGTTTTAGTTTAGTAAAGTATCTTTATTTACAGAACAACTTTACAAAAATAATTTCAATAAAATTATCACAAAGTCCATTTACAATATAATACAGCTGCATGTTCTCCCAATGTAACATCAGATTATGATGGGGAATATTACTTTGATATCAATCCATGGCATAAATAATGATTTAAACAAGGAGCTAGTTTTGTTATAGTCTACAAATGACTAACAACGATTAATAAACAACACATTTCTTGACTTAGGTGGTTCCTCTGTACAATTCACATTAATGCTATAGAGCCCAAGGGCTGGAGGAGCCTGGAAGATCATGGAATCAGGAATGGTTTGGGTTGGAAGGGACTTTAAAGATGATTCAGTTCCACACCCTGCCATGGGCAGGGACACCTTCCAGTATCCCAGGTTGCTCCAAGCCCCATCCAGCCTGGCCTTGGACACTTCCAGGGATGGGGAATCCACATCCTCTGTTCTGCAGAGAAGGGTCAGGTTTCCCTCAGCAGGGATGTTGGGAGCACCCTCTGACTCCCGAGTGTCCAAAGTGCCCCTCTCTCTGATCCCTCAGAAAACACTGTGCTGGACAGACAGAGCTGCCAGACCTCAGGGACAGCTTTTCCAATGTCATGCCTTGATGTGTGGGATCTTTTCGGTGTTTTCCCAAAACAGCAGGCAGAGATCCGACCCCATCTCCACAGCGCCTCGTTTTGTAAACTTGCAATGCTGATCTTCCTTGGGAATTTGGGACGTGGGCTCCTACAGCTCTGGTTAGTTGGAGTGCTGGTGTTCAGCTCTTTGGGAAATACATTCTCTGTGCAGAAACTGCCGTGCCAGGGTTTAGGACACGTACTGGGCTCCTCCGTAGGGCAGAACCTCCGTGACCCCCCACCCCACCACGTTGCCCCTGGTGCCACACGCGCCCTCCCCACTCTGTGCTGTGATCTCTGGGGCACTGAGCACTCTGTCCCACAGGTTGAAGCCAGTTAGTTTTCCAGAGAAGGCTAAAGCTTCATCAAACCCCCCTCCGACGCAGCAGCCGTTCTTCTCCTGCCCGATCTGCAGGATCCCTCCATCGGGAACGGTGTGAGCGCTGGCAATGTCCAGGGCACTGGCTGCCAGCTCCCCCTGCACCCACAGGGCTGCAGATCCATTCTCGGAGCTCCACGTGCCACACAGATGGACCCACTTCCCAGGAATAACTGCATTTTGGGCAGCCACCTTGTGCTGGCCACCCCCGACCACGAGCACTGCGGAGTCCCGGCGGAGGTAAAGCTGGATTTCATAGGGATTGAACTTGGTTCCATAGGAGAAGACAATGGTTTTGTCCAAAGCCTCGGTCACCCTGATCCAGATACAGGCAGTGAAGGAGCGAAGGGTCATTCCAGCAGTTGGGTGGACGCTCCCAAATATCTTTTTGGAACGCATGGGGAACAGAATTGCGGTTTCACACCCTGGGGAAGATTAAAAACATCGTCAGGGAAATAGAAACTGGTCTGCTTGTGTGTGCATAGGTAGGACCTTTGATATATCATGGAATCATTAAGGTTGGAAACGACCTCTAAGATCACCAAGCTGTCGCTGCCCCATCCCTGGAAGCGTCCAGGATGAAGCTTGGAGCAACCTGGACTAGTGGAAGGTGTCCCTGCCCATGGCAGGGGGTGGCACTGAATGGGCTTTAAGGTCCCTTCCAACCCAAACTGTTCCATGATGGGGCTTCCCAAGGATCTGTATGGAGCAGTGCCCCC